AGATCCGCAGTCTGATCCTGGGAGAATGCCATGACACGGAGGGTCATTTTGGTTGGCAAAAGACCTTAGCCAATCTGATGCGCGCGTATACCTGGCCAGGGATGAAGAATGACTGCGTAGAGTATGTTCGCAGTTGTAAGGTCTGCCAGCGTAACAAGTCTTCTACGCGTGCCCCGTTAGGTTTTCTCAGACCCTTGCCCATTCCGGATCAGCCGGGAGACTCGGTGTCAATAGATTTCATGGACACTCAAGTCAAGAGCAGGCATGGCAAGAGCCAAGTCATGGTCATTGATGATCGCTTTAGCAAGTACGCAGTTTTTGTTCCTTTGCCTTCTGAGGCGCGTACTGATTTAGTCATACAGAGGTTCTTTGACTGTTGGGTTAGTGAGAATGGAATCCCGCTGTCTATAGTTAGCGATAGAGATAGTCGCTTTACTAGCCAGAACTGGCAAGAACTCATGGGAGTATACGGATCTAAGTTGTTGATGTCGTCCGGACGCCATCCAGAGACTAACGGTCAGACAGAGCACATGAACAAGATCCTGCAGCAAGTTCTGCGCATGTATATTTGGCCAGATCAGATTAACTGGGATGAGATGTTGCCTAAAGTAGCTAGTGCGTACAATAACAGCGTGCATCTAGCCACCTGCCGCACTCCCAACGAACTGCACAAGTCCTTTAGACCGCGCAGACCGTTTGAGGGACTCAACAGGGATCAGATTCAGAGATTGCCGCCCGGGACCCGAGAGTTCGCTGTACAGCACGAGAAAGGACTAGCTACTGTTGTAGAAAACCTCAGGAAAGCCCAGCATAGGATGATAGAACAAGCAAACAAACATCGTCRCCCTTCACAGTTTCAAGTAGGCGGGACCGTCCTACACCATAGAGTTACCAGCACACCTCCACACTTACCCAGTTTTCCACGCATCAAAGTTGTTACCGTGTCAAACGAGTGATCAGTTTCCATCCCGTAGGTCCATGATCCCACCGGATATGGATGGAAGATACGACATTGATGGAATAGTGGCTGAAGATGTATTCAGGACTGGAGGTAGGGGTCGTCCACAGAAACAGTACAAGGTTCACTTTAGTTATCAAGAACCGGAAGACGACCGCTGGTTTACTAGATCTGAACTTCTAGAGACAGCTCCCGACATAGTCCGGGCCTACGAGAGATAGCAGAAGGGTAAAGGTCCTGCCTTGGACTGAAAATTTCTCGGAGGACCTCGAATTTAGGCCGGCGGGAGCGAAACGGTATTCACCAATTCGTGGTAGCTGAGGCAGATCCCAGGGCTCGAGCCCTAGTTCCCCAACTTACCTGTGTACAATACCTGCGTCAACTCGAAGAGTTGAACCTGCGACCTGTAGAACCGCCAGTGGTAGGTAGGTCTGTCGTAGGTCTATAGGTAGCCAGGATTTGATCCGTAGACCTGTAGATTAGAAGGCTAGCTGCAGTCCTTCTAGAAGGTTGGCAAGTGGTCAAGTGGTGCAGGCAAGTGGGCAAGTGGTGTTACTTAAGCAAGCCCATGTTGGAGAGCCAAGTGGCAAGGGCAAATAGTAGGACCCCAGTGCAACTGCACTGCGTCGTAGGGTAGTCGCCATGCAGTCATGGGAGAGTCTAGAAAGTACCAGTCCGGTCCAGCAAGTACCACGGGGGGGACTGTGTGCACCATGGGCCAGGGATACAGGGCAGACCAACGCAGCGCAGAAGTATAAATCAAGAGGCTGCGTCCAGCCATTCATTCATTCCTGCGGATGCCATGCGGAAGCGCTGCCTTAGCAGCTTGTGTGAGGAGGTCTGCAGTGTGCCCGAAGACGAAGTGGGCAGAGAAGTGTAGTGTAGCGATAGGTAGTGGCAGCTAGCGTTGCCATAGCTGTAGCATAGCGTGTGTGTGTGTTGCGTATGATACTGAGTGTTGCGTGTGGGACATCCAGGGTGATCCAGAGTGCGAACAGTGAGTTGTGTGGGCGCCCAGTCGCCATAGCCAGTTGAAGAGAACTCATATCTGGTTACGATATCTTAAGTACTGTCAGGGCGCATGTCGCCAGTTGCTGTATCGCTGTTTGCATSCAAGACAAGTGTGAATAATCAGAGTGTGAATGCACTGGTATCGGAGCAGGTACCCGCTGTTCCATGCGCGCGATGTGTGCAGGGCCGATCGGCCATAGCTGAAGTGCCACCGGAGGAGGTAGTCCGCCATGGCGGACCTCGAGGTGGAAGGAGAAGCCGCGCACCTGCAACAAGGAGACCACGAGAGAGAGAGATGAGTGATACAAGATTGGTTACTTACCTGCTGCGCTGAAGATACCGCTACGGCGGAAGAGAGAGAGAGAGAGAGAGAGAGAGAGAGAGATGAGCGATCCAAGATTGGTTGTCACTTACCCGTGAGCCGAGCCGTGGAGTCCGGTGGAGGAGGAAGACGGCTATAACCGCGGAGTATTAATACAGAGTACCGGAGGAGAGAGAAAGGGAGGACAGAGAAGGAGGGACTGAGGAGAGAGAAGAAGAAGTGTGAAAGGAGGAGAACGAAGAAGAAGACAGACATAGTCGGGGGTGTGTATAAAAAAAAAAAATATATATATATATACAGCGAAGGAGAAGAAGAAAGAAAGTGAAGGAAGGGGAAGAAGACGGCGAGGGTGACAAAGGTGATAGTGCCGGCAGCCATAGCCGAGGTTGAGGGTTGACCGGGCGTTGACCAGAGCGTTGACCAAGGGTTGACCAGAGGGTTGACCAGAGGGTTGACCGAGGGTGTTGACCAAGCATTGACTTGGGGTTGTCCGCGTTGACTCAGCGATGACCAAGGCGTTGACCGGAGCTGCTGACCAAGATTTTGACCAAGCTGGAATTGGTGATATCTCTCTGAGCCCTTAGCCTATCCCCTTACCCTGTGGATGTGCACTTACCCACGGTACTTGCTGAGTTGTCTGTCAACTCTT